CACCAGCGACCGGGCTGCCCCTAACGCAGGGCTGCTGCTAGAAGTGTCTGTTCACCTGCTCCAGAGCCCTGCTGGAAACACTCACACATCCAGGCTTAAGGGAGACTGAGCATTCATTAGCTATTGTATGATGGAACCTCAGATCTCAATCACAGTGAACCCTAACACAGTACCAGCTAAGTAATTCCTCATCAAAGGCTGAAAATCCTGAAGATGGCTTTTCTCTACCTCACAGATCAATTCTGATGCATTTATACCTTTCTAAAACAACATCTCCATTTTGGAGGTCAAACCCAAGCTTATTCCAGTTTTGTGCTCTATAAAGTTACAATTTTAAAACAGTACAGTGACTAATGGGTAAGAAATGCTCAAACGTTTTTATGAGGCTGGCGGGGGAAAACAAAACATGAGGAATCCTGTGGGAAGAAACCCTGCATAAAAGTTTGTGCCACTTTTCTAAATTTTAGACTGTGCTGTCCTCAGTTTTACTTTATAAATCAGAAAGTCAAAGCAATGAACAAGAAATTTTTTTCTTGCTGAGGATTATTTGGCTTATTTCCTTCTCCCCTGCACCAGCTAATCTGGAAAAAATCCCCTCAATGTTAGAAATATTCCGTATAATTAAATTTTGCCAGTTTGTGTTCTGTATCTAAGCTCCATCTGTACATGCATCCTCCAGTCTCACACTGGAGGGAGGGAAGAAGGTGGAAAGGAAGAGGTGTCTCAAAACCCTTCCTTGTGGCAAGAGAAGGATTCACACAGTGACAGTGGAGCACCACAAACCCTGCAAGTTAACACCCATGTTTAAAAATCACTCAATCACTTGTTTCCCACCTCCAGCCCTTCCCCTTCTGGATGGCACAACTTTTGCCTTCAGGTTGTGAACAAAAGAGAGCCCCTTCAGAAGTGAAGCCAACTGTTTCCAGTTTAAACAGCTCGTGGAACTACAAAATGCAGCACTAAGGTTTAGCTTCTACCTGGCCTTTATCAGATTTCTGGCTTTGTCATCCCAGTGTTCAGACACAGTAAGGAGCTCCTGCAGCTTTGCCATCGCTTTCTCAACTGCTGGGTAGGGGGCGAGTCCAACCCCTGAGTCTATCAGACGCCTCATGTCGTCTAGAGTGAGGGAGTTCTGCTCTGAGGAAGCCAGCTGCACCTCCTCCAGCCAGCGCGCCTGCTCCAGCCGCGTCCGCAGCTCCCCCAGCTGGGGCAGGTCGACGTCGAAGTCGAAGCTGACATCCAGCAGCTCCTGCAGCTCTGCAGCACTGGGCATTTCTTCAGACAGGAGCCTTTCACTTTGCTGCTGGAAAGCTTCCACGCGATCGAGAAGATCCTGGAATACACAAATGCAACAATAAATGAGAAGAAAACCCTCTGCTAAGTGTCCATCAGGCAGCGGGGTGTGAGCCTCCTGCAAACCCCACCCTGCACAGCAGATTGGCTGACACCTGGAACACTGAAACACTGTCCCCAGCACCCAGTGTGTGTGTGTGTGTGTGTGTGTGTGTGTCAGCACCTCCTCACACAAAGTGTCCACAGTGTCACAGAACAAGTGAATTCCGTTCCAAACTCCTTTGAACTAAGAGTCAGGTGTCTAAGAGGTCTCAGAAGAGCAGAGTTTCTGGCTTTGTTCTGGGATGATTACGAAGGCTGAAGAACAGCATGGTTATGATTAAGAAGGCTTTGAAGAATCCTGGGAAATGCCACAGAGCCTCTGGGGTTAATTTCTGCTGCACTGTTAAGGGTTTTGAGCTGGACCACACAGTCGCAGCAAGCCACAGGCACTTTACTCTTGCCTGCAGTGCAACACCTTCTCTTTCTCCATATGTTCAACAGCTAATTACCCCCAAAAGGTACCTCTGTGGCACTTCACTCAGGGCAATGGACAGTTAGCCAGAGTAATCTCACTGCAAAAGCTGCAATTACGCTGGATCTGGCCATCCTGCCCAGAGCTTCCAGTCCTGCCTGAAATGCTAGTCCAGCACTAAGTTCTTCCTTCCCAGCTGGCACCTTGGTATTTTGCCAATGAGGTCATTTGCCAGGGTAGGCAATCTCACCCAAAATGGAAATAGTCTCTTTACAGATATATTAAATTGTGAACTCGTCTCCAGTAACTGTTGGTCATTTATATTAACAGCCTAATTTGCATGACTACATATAATTTAGGGTTGTTGGGAATGATGGAAAAGAATGCCCTGACCATATGTGTTTGATATCTCCCTGTTCAAGAATGCCAGATGGAGAAGAACTGTCTGCATGTCTGGTGTTCCTGAACTGCTTTTTAAATAGCAAGATAGCTTCCGAGTTACCATCCTGTAAACAAATAACTGTAAATAGGATTACACAAAATCTGATTCACATATTCCAGACCTGACAAAAGCTTCAAAAGCAATAGCTGTAAAGCTGAGCTGAACTGGTCTGCTCTGATTCAAAGTTACATGATACTGTCTAGTCTCTCAACTTTGTGTGGACACCTAAGATTTAGCTCAGGAGCTGGACACGGCATCTCCTGGTCCTAAGAGTCACAAATATGCAAAGCCCTTCTCCTTTAAGGCAGGAATTGTAGCTGCCCAGAGTTTATGATCCTTTTTTTGTTTTTGTTTTTGATTACCCCTCAGGGTGATATGCAACATTTTTGGCTAATTCCTAAACCAAACCTTGAATTACTTTCAGCTTGTCTGGGGGCTGATCATCTGGTGAGCAAATAATCAGCACTAGTTGATGGTCGTGGGAGACAAAGTGACTCACTGCCAGCAGCAGAGTCTCTGACAGAACAAGTGTTTAGCATGGGCCACAGTTATCTGTGTTGTTTCCTGGAACGTGGGCTGACACGTTATCTAGTTACAAGACTATGAGAAAGCTGACTGTGGACTGACAAAGGGAAGGAGACAAACGGCAGAGCTGGCAGAGTGTTGTGGAGTTTTGAATATTCCCAGCTAAGCCTGGCTTCATGCTTAACAGGAGACCACTTAACCAACCCCCAATTTTTAATCTGTAGCTACTCAGGTCACCCTGCTGCTTTTTTTGCCTTGTTTTGTACAGCGTTAACACCCTGATCCCTTGATGAGTATAAAGATCTCCCCAGCAGCAGGTCACAGACCCCGCTCTGAAGCGGCTCACAGGCACAAGCTACCCAGGACCTGCCTGTCTCAAGGCATTGATTCGTGGAGTGACAGCGAGATGACTGCGGTGCAAACACGTCCCCAGGACAAGCCCTCGTGCCCCCCTGGGTGGGATTCTCCCCGTTACCTTGAGCAGGGGTGTCTGGCTGAGCAGGCAGGGCAGGGCGTAGAGCTGCCGCACGAAGAGCCGCAGCTCGTCCACCGTCAGCTGGTTGGGACACTTCCCTCCCCCAGAGCGGTACCTGCAGCGACAGCAGCGTGGGTGGGTGGCATTGAGAGGAGAAAAGGCACCCTAAAGTTCTTGGACATCTGCTACTCATCTCTAGAAGTCAAGCTTTGCTCACAAATAACACAATATTCAAAAGGATCCGAGCTGCCTAGGGCCTGCATGCATGGGAGAGCTCCAGTCAGTCACAGCAGAGTGAGCTGTTGTTGAAAGTACTCTCTCACATCAAATAGTGTTCTGGAACAACTGCTCAGCCTTGGAAGAGCACTGGTTATTAGGGAATAAAATTAAGCTTTTTTTCCAGAACACAAAGCAACTGTGGATAAACTATTCAGTTATGTTGCAATAGCTATTGTAGTGAGCTCTCCCCATGCCCATACCAAAAGAGAACAAATCCCAATTTTGAATGGGTTTTATATTTACAGGTCATGTAGGCACTTCTGAAAAATCCCCCTTACGCTGAAATCATCATTTTCATTTTTATTTAAAAGCTTTGTATCAAATGAGTGGCTTATAAGTGTTAACAAATTGGCTAATATTAAAAACCTCTCTAAACTCAAGCCAATATTAACTAGGTCTGAGAACCCTGAACAGAAAAGGAAAGAAATCTCTTACAATGCTGGCTCAAATTTAAGCCACAATATGTCATTTAAACAAAAGAGGAAAACAACATCCCAGCAGGATATGCCAGCATGGCTGGAATGTGAACACTATAAAATAAATTGTAATTCACTATTCTGTGTTAAAAATAGGTATTTTTAAAGTATATGCAAGATCACATTGGGAGTTCCAAAATCCATAGTAAGCTGAACAAGAAAATGGATTTAAAGCCTCAGGTACAGCACAAGCTGCTTTGTGGTCTACAGTGTTTTATTTTTTTTTTTTTGTGGAAGTTCTGCATTATCTTCCAGGAAAAGGGACAAGTTTTACAAATAAATAGTTATGTACATGTATGTGTGCACACACGTATATATGTATCTAAAGTATATGGGAAGAACTTCTTTACTGTCAGGGTCCCAGAGCTGGAACAGGCTCCCCAGGGAGGTTGTGGAGTCTCCTCCCTTGGAGACTTTCAGACCCATCTGGATGAGTTGCTGTGTGACCTGCCCTAGACTAGATGGTTCTGCTCTGTCAGGGGGGTTGGACTCCAGAGGTCCCTTCCAACCCCCAACATTCTGTGGAAGTCTAAGTTGCCACAAGATGTCTTTGACAACCAGAAATTACAGGAGCCTAAAAATGAAAACATTCACAGAAGAAAAGCTCTTGTCCCTCCATGATTATTAATCACAAAGATCTCTGGGTTATCAACCACGAAGATCTCTATGCCCAAGGTCTTTAAACTCTTGGAGACTAAGAAGCAGAAAACGTATCATGAAATGTGGAGAAGGAAGGGGCTGGAGAGTCAGAACATCCCTGCTGTCACACGGGCTGGAGCAAGGGGAAGGGGCTGGAGAGTCAGAACATCCCTCTGTGCTTGCCCTGCTGTCACACAGGCTGGAGCAAGGGCTGCACTCTCCCTTGGCACCACCCAGACCCCTGGGCACAGACCCCTCCTCCAAATCGCGTTTGCAGGGCCTCAAACCAAAGGCAGAGGGAAGTACAGCCCATCTGTATGTCTCCAGGTACTACAGAGAAGACACAGTAAATTGTGTGACTTGTGCTAAGATAACATTTGTTATCAAATTTGGTCTTTTCTCCCCAGGAACTGTGGTGTATACTGTACAGGAGGAGGTGCTCGAGTACAACTGACTACCATGATTAACAGGGATGACCCTTCCTGTCAAGTCTAGTGTGTGACTCTTCCACACTGAGGACCAGAACAGAAAGAAAGGAAACTTTGTCAAAAGCATGAATCAAGCTTCAGGCAGGATCCAGAATCCTCCATAACCCCTACAGGTCCATTGGCATGATGAAGGCTGCCCCACATCCTGCAGGTATGTGAACTTCACATAGATCAAAGTATTCCATGTAACATATATCAGGACTTGAAGCAGATTATTCTTTTTCTATCTTCCTATGGAGTTTATAAGCACTTCTCCCTTCAATCTTTTAAGGGGGGAAAAAAAATCCATCAAATAACATAGGTTTTAAAACTCTAATTACAAAGAGATGCAACTGGACTTTTCCCAGAAATAGACCAAAAAGATCTAAGGAGAAATCATGAGAGAAGGACTAAAAACACTTCTAGAGCAAGTGAGACACAGAGTCCAAGCACTGCCTTGATCCTGTGCAGAGCAGCCCAGGGTGGACGATTCCCCACAGTCTGTGATGCTGCAGGAGCTGGCAAGCACAGGGCCAGGAAGGCTGAGACACTGACCCCCCTGATGAGAGAACAGAGCCAGGCAAGGAGAGGAAGATAAACTGATAAAGGAAAGCACAACTATGGGAATCACATCTAAATAATAGGTGAATATTCTACTAACAAAGTCCTTCAAAGTCAGCCTTTAAAGTACTGTGAGAACACAGGGAGTGACAAGCT